TTTACATATCTTATGCTCTATTTGATTTCTAAGTGTTACTAAAAAATAAATATGATTTTGCCGAGAGGAGAGGATGGGTTTGGGAAGCAATGAAAAAGAGAAATAAAAGAGAAAGGGTGAAAAAAAAGAACACCGGAGAGTGGAGGGCGTGGGTTTGGGAATCAATGAAAGAGAGAGAGAAAAGAGAAAAGGTAATTACCCAATTAAAACGGGTCGATCCGATTTTCTTCTCATTTTTTGTTTGTATATAAATGTTGGAGCTAGAAAAAAAAAAAATTTTTGATGAGTTGTTGTGTTGTGATTGGTTTTGAGATTGTCATGGATAATTGTCAAATCTGCGTCATTTTGATAATGGTTAAAGTTGTCTTTTAACATATCCATTATCGGCCAGTCGCAGCCTTGTCCTTACTCCAAATCGATAGTTCAAGGGAGTAACTAGTTGTTAAGGAGTTATTTGTCAATGGGGCATAGTTCGACTGAGTTTTTTTAACTATACCCGTATATTATTTGAAATTGAATTTGAAAATTAAATTACTATTTTTTTATTTAAGAAAATAAATTCAAGCAGACATTTACCTGCCCACAACATTGACATGCAACTATTAATGGTCCTATCATTAGGGGTGTAAAAAAAATTGGTAAAATTGAAAATTTGATTTAAATCTGGATAGATTAGTCGGTTTGGTCCTTTTTCTAAGATTTGGCATGGTTTTAATTCTAAAAAAACAAAATCATAATTTTACAATTCATTTTAGCTTTGAAAATTTTCAAGACCTAATCGAACCGTTATATTGTGTATATGTGTAATAATTTTCTACCTCTAAAAATTTAAATCATCATTTTTAATTCTCACAACCCTCAACACGATGCACATTACACAATTATCTTTTTTTCCTCTAAAAATCTCATATCCTACCATGTCTCTATCATCTCTCCTTTATCAAATCTCTACAATTTTTTCTTAGATCTTCATTCATCGAAGATTAGCGAGGGTTTTATGATCTCTTCAATCCCTAAGAAATTTATGGAACTTTTTTTCTTTGTTTTCATGTCCAGCAACACACCAGCGCTCGAGCTTCAAACTCCAGCCGATGAAGTGCGATCTTTCGCTTTCGTCAATAAATACAAGCCTTTTGATTTTGAGTTACTGTCACTTGCTTTATGATTTTATCCATTTCCTATGTGATTTGCTTCTAATTTTTTTGTGGAATCGGTAAGACCGATTTAATTCTAAAGATTTTCAAACCAATCTGAACCGAATTGTATGCACCCTTGCTTATTATATTGTTGACACCCATTTTGGTAATTGGGCTTGGATCACAAGTGGGCTTGAAGAACAGTGACATGGCAAGAGATTGGGTTGTGAAGAAGGATTCAACTTGGTATGTCGATTATATGGGTTAAGAGTATACAACCTGATGAACAATGATGTGTTAGAAGTTTGGGCTGTAAGACGTTTTTGACTCTACATGGACTAAACAATAGACTTAGACTACGTTTGGGATAGCTATGATGCAGTTAGAGGAAGATTGATTTGCATGGATTATATTTGAAAACGCAGCAGATAGAATTGGTTTGGATGACTAGAAGTAACAAATTAGTTGCATAAGGATGTTTATCTACAGGATTAGTTTGATTTGAATTTTACATTTTTATTATGTGATAGAGTATTTGTTTTACTAATAATTTCTATAAATAAACAAAGGGGTAAGCTGAGATCGAGGTCCAACACCTTTATAATCCTTTAATTTATTTGTTTGCTTTCTCAAGCCTTTCCTAGAATAACATCCTTGTTATTTCTTATCTTCTCTATCTATCTCTCTCAATATCTCGTTCTATCTTTCTCCCTCTAAATCTCTTTCTCTTTATATTTCTTTCTATATCTATTTCTTTCCCTCTTTCTATTATCTCAATTATTACTATAAATTATTCATTGTAAAGTCCTTTTAATTAAGGCAATTCTTGAACTCAAAGAGGAGTTTTACTGTTCTCTTCATTCTCGCATACTCTGAAAGTCAACCTTTCCAAAGAGACTAACGTTAACAACTCACACTCGAACCACAATTTTGGTTCTGGCACGCCCAGTAACGACCAGAACCCGAGGGTCCAAATCACTAACCGAGACTAGAACCCGAGGTCAACTAAAGGCACTACCGTCCTTTCCTATGTCAATACATAATATACGTGTCATTCCAGGGTTTATAAGATAATAATAATAATAAATAAATAAATAAATAATAGTAATAAAATGATATCATAGTTACAAAGTATGTCAAAACGATCTACTAACCCATCAAACCCTGTGGAGGAGCGTCGTCCGTCACGTCCCTTCTGTGTCATGAAAAATGTTAATAATAAAGGGGTGATCATAAGCTCAGTAGGAAGTGTCTAAGACACACCTCTTATGACCTCGTGAATCCACATATAGAATAGAAAACTAGAGAATGGGATCATACTATACTGGGGATGTAAACCATAACCACAACATCCAATATAAACACAAATGTCATCCAAGTCACAAATACACCATGTATGCCAATGAAGTGCAATGCCATGCTTATGTCGCTCCCCGTTTTTGAAACATTTCCATTTCAACTTCCAAACCGTTAGTGTAATCTGACCCAAGGCACCTCTAAGGCGTCACGAGGGAGGGGTTGGCTAGTCTTCCCCGACCACATGATACCACCATGGCGTCGTCTGGGTAGCTCAACCACACTAGAGTCTCTCTTTAACCCCCTCTAGATCACACTAACACCATGGACCACTAGGCGCCTCCTAGGCGTCCAAGTTTTCGCAACACTTTTCAAAAACATTTTCCCAAAATCATTTTATTTGCTTTCAAAACATTTTTCCCATTTTGCCTTTCCCAATGGATGCATGAATGCTTCATGCTCCTAATCATGATTTCAACCATAAAATTTCACACATGCTTTGCAAATTAAATCTCTAAAATAGGTAATTCATGCTTCCCTTCAACATTTTTTTTTTTATTATTAATTTTTTTTGCATACCAAGCATACAAAGCGTAAATCCATTTCATATACATCATGTTTGCAAGCTTTTAAAAATAATTTAATACTCTACATCAATTTCTCAATTTAACAATCATGTCATCATAACAAGTTTAGCAATTAACTTAAATAACCAAGCTCACATTTTCATAACAACTCATCTTAGCATGCCACTTAACACATAAAGCACATACAACACATAAATCATCTAATGATTATAACAAGATTAATACAATAAAATCATGTTTGTGCCAAATTTAAGGAAATAACTCACTGAAATCAAAGAATTTGTGGGTTAGAACACCCCTACCTCTTAGGATGCAAAACCCCCAATTTTGCCCAATCCAAGCCCTAGAATTCGAAATTCCCAAGTGCACCAAACAAGAAATTGCTCCGATCAGCTTATAGATCTCGCCGTGAGCTTCAATTTGCCGCAAACAGGACTTAAAAATACCAAGTATTGAAGGAGTAATCAAGAATTGAAGATTTGAAGCCAAAAGAAAAAATAGAAGTCTAGAATGAGGGGGCAGAGAGAGACCAGCGGGAGGGGAAGAAAAGAAGAAAAAAATGGAGACCAAGATGTGGTCTCATGACCACTTAAATAGGGGTTGTGGGTCCCACCAAATTTTTTTTTTCCATTTAATACACACACACACACACACACACATATATATATATATGAATAAGTCATAACATTACACGCCCGCATTATATCAATTCCAAATCGGATCTTAGGAGCCGATTTTAGCGTCAACACATATCTGACACGAAATGGTTGCTAGCACCCATTTTAGCAACTTTTCAAGATTCAATCTTCTTTCTTTAAAACGTTACAGTGACTTAAAAAGTTACCTTGATTTAGGTATTTTTATTTAATGATTCAATATTCTTTACACATATAAACACCATTTGTGACTTCAAAGAGAACTCGAATAATTTTAACTCAAAACTCTAATTTCCCTTCAATAATTCAATCGTTTTACAATAAATTGCTTTAGTGACTTCAAAGTTACCTTAATTGAGGTATTTTCATTCGATGATTCAAACTTTACCCATTAAAACACTTTTTGTGACCTCAAAGGGAATTCGATTAAGTTTAATTCAAAATTCTCATTTTCTTTCAAAGATTCAATTTTTTAACCTTACAACGCTTTAAGGACTTCAAAGATACCTTGATTGAGGTAATTTCATTCAAAGAATCAATCTTTGCAAATTAAAACACTCTTTATGACTTCAAAGGGAACTTGATTAAGTTTAATTCAAATTCTCATTTTCTTTTTAAGATTCAATCTTTTTATATTAAGACGCTCTACTTACTTCAAAGGGTAATGTCCCGAATTTTTCGATATTTTTTTGGTAATTTTCTTTTATTTATTTGTTTGTACCTCGTTTTGCATGCCACGTGTTGTTTGGGACATTTTATTGAGCTCGGGAGTTTTAGAAATATATTTTGGTTATTTTATGCATGTTAGATTTTACGAGATTGGTTTTAGAATTCTTCGGAGTCGGGACGAATTTTGTACTCGGGAATCTTTTCCCAAATTTTCCTCAATGTTTATTATATATATGTGTGTGTGTGTGTGTGGAATAAGATTGTTGTACATGGACAGGAGTCCGGTGCAACAATATTACTGGTCGAGTCATCGATCTTCACCTCTACAATGACCACTCTCTTGATGACTATGAATCTTATTAGGCGCACTCGTTGAGTGGGAAGATCACTCCCTCTTTGCTGGAATTAGAATATCTGAGTTACTTGGACTTGAGTTACAACGATTTCACAGGTTCTAGTGTTCCAAGTTTCTTAGGTTCCATAGGAAGTTTGAGATATCTTAACCTTTCTCAATTGTTTTTTGAGGGGTTGATTCCTCAAAAAATTATTTTTTGAGGAACCTCTCGAGCCTTTGTACTCTTGATCTAAGTACTAATCTACTTTATGTTGATGACCTTAGTTGGATCGCTCATCTTCATTCCTTGGAATACCTTGACATGAGTGGGATCGACCTTCACGAGGTAGCTGATTGGTATCAATCCGTTAGCAAGCTTCTATCCCTTTCAGAACTACATTTGTCCAGCTGTGGACTCGAAGGGCTGGTTCCTTATCAGCTTGGCAATCTCTCAAGCCTTTGTCATCTCAACTTTATCTATAATGATCAACTTTATGTTGATGACCTTAGTTTGATCGCTCGTCTTTATTCCTTGGAATACCCTGACATGACAGGGTCAACCTTAGCAGGGCAGTTAATTGGCTTCAAGCGGTGAGTATGCTTCCTTCCCTTTCACAACTATATTTGTTTGACTGTAAACTCGAGAAAATATTAATTCCACCTCTTGCTCATGTTAATTTTACATCTCTTAAAGTCCTTAATCTTTCTCACATCCATTTCGAGTGCGAGATACCAGATCAGTTGTTTAATCTCACTAGTAACCTTGTGCATGTTGACCTACTTGCAATTTCCTATATGGTCCTATACCTAGAAGTATTTCAAATCGTCACATGTTGAGCTATTTAGATTTCGAAAAAAATATTCTTCGCGGGCAAATCCCAGACGAGCTTGGGCAATTGAAACATCTTGAATATGTGTCACTTATTCGCAACTCATTGTCTGGTCCCATTCCAGCATCTATTGGAAACTTATCGGCCGTGAGATTATTATGTCTTAATGATAATCAATTGAATGGCTCTTTTCCAAAGAGTGTGGGATTCCTCTCAAACCTTGAGGAATTACACGTAGGTCAAAATTCCATTTCAAGCATTGTTTCCGAAGTCAATTTTGCCAACCTCTCAAAATTAAAAATTTTGGAAATGTTTTTAAACTCTCTCTTCTTCAATGTGACTTCCGATTGGGTTTCCCCTTTTCAACTTGATGAACTTCAGATGAGCTCCTGCGAGATGGGTCCAACATTTCCTTCATGGCTACGAACACAAGCATCTTTGTCTGCGTTAGACATTTCTGAGTCGAAAATTTCAGATGTAGCTCCAAAATGGTTGTGGAAGTGGGTGTCACGTATTGAGTCTATCGATCTCTCTAACAATCAGATAAGCGGAGACATATCCAACGTGTTTCTAAATTCTAATGTTGTTGAATTGAGTGCTAATCTTTTCAAAGGTCAGTTACCACATTTGTCTCCAACTGTTCAAATGTTGAACTTTGCAAACAATTCTCTCTCTGGACCCATTTTGCCATTCTTGTGCCAATATATGAAAAGAAAAAGTATGTTGGTAGTTCTAGACCTATCGAATAATTTATTATCAGGCGAACTTCCTCATTGTTGGATGCATTGGCAAAATCTGGTTCATGTAAACTTGGGTAGGAATCACCTATCCGGTAAAATTCCTAATTCAATGGGTTCGTTGAGTATGCTCGAGTCATTGCAATTGCACAGTAATACATTTCTTGGAGAGCTACCTTTATCATTGCGGAACTGCACCGTATTGAAGTTCATTAATTTAGGTGAAAATGAACTTTCGGACTCATTCCAAGTTGGATCAGAGAATTGTTAAGCTTGAGGGTTCTCGGCTTAAGATCCAATAAATTTATTTGCAATATATCATCACAAATATGCCTTTTTTCTAAGCTTATAATTCTAGATCTTGGGAATAATAGCTGTAGGTGCAAAATTTCGCCCAACCAATAATGATTAAGAGAAATAAAACAACTCACTCAACAAATAATAAAAATAAATAAAAACAGTATATAGAGAAACGTATAATTGCTTGATCCTTTTATTGGAGGTCTGGGCCTCTATTTATACACAAAATATTGGTAGAATTATGGTAGGACTCGCATTACTTGTCCTCCAATTCTTTCCCTATAAAAATTCTTTACAAATAGAGCTCCTTCCTTTGGATAATTTTCCTTATGTAGTAGTTTCTTTCTTTGCTGTATCCTTCTTCTAATAGGACTAATTTCCTTTCAATGGATTTGGGCCATAAGTATCTTAATCCATGTGACATTGCCAACGGGCTGGACCTCTTGTTTCGGGCTTGAGTAATGCTACAGAGATCAATTAGATGTGACCTTGGGTTAGTGCCTTATGATTTTGGGCTACCGACGAGCTTGGACTGGGCTTTGAGCAGGATGGACCTCTGACATTTGTGATGGGTATTTATATTGTGATGACGTGTACAATTCTCATTGGAGGGAGATTTTTCCCTCCACACTTTGTCCCCAATTCCTCTTTAATTGGATTACGGCTCCTAATTAAAGGGGAATTGAAGTTATGCAGTTACCATTGTCACACGAGGCATTTCCATTTGTGTCTATTGTTATTCTGACTCAAGGACTTCTTCAAGACTTACTTTTGTTCTCACTGCACTCGTTTCTTCCCTCGCATTCTTCACATTCTCATATCTCCAGGTTAGTTCTTCTTTTCCTTCTTCCAATCTTGCATTATGAGTACTTCGACTACTCCTGAACATATAGAAATCGTGGATTCTGAATCCACGCCCTCGTCTTCCCCTAATCTCATTAGGGTTCCTCCTCCTAGGGTTTCGAACCTCCTTAAGTCTGCAAATGACTCGGTTAATCAGCTGGATGTTTCCCCAATCCAGGTTGAGATATCCACCTCTGTGTCGGACAATATTTTTACTAAGGAAGAAAGAAATGCAATTTTATTGTTCGTCGTATTAAGTTTTCCATTGAATCCGTAATGGAAGATTTTGAGATTCCCGAGGGGGTAGAAATTGTTGAATACCCCCAGGGTGCCGATTTTTGTGCCGGCGAGGGCGTCGGTGAAGGCGAGTTGCTCCTCTCTGTTGGGCATCTCAACGCTCTTAGATTCCCCCTTCACCATTTTTACCATTTAGTTTTTAACAAATTAAGGATTGCACCCCTACAAGTAAACCCTAACTTCCTTCAAATAATCTCGGCACTCCTAATTCGCCGATGGCTGGAGAGTCTTGACCTGACTCTGGTTGACTTGCTGATTACTTACACTATTTCCAAGCATGGAACCGAACTTGGTCGCTTCTATTTTACCTCTCCCTTGCACCAGAGGATATGTACAGACCTCCCTACTTCTGAAAAGAAGTGGAAATATAGGATGATAATTGTTAAAGGGAGATGGGCCGTACCTCAATCGAGCAAACTCCTAATCCCTCACAAGTTCGGGAAGTTAGGTATAGAACGTTCCCCCTCTCTTCATACAGATTATTCTGGCTGCTTCCCATGTCGAGTCTTATTCTTTCGGTATATTTATGAGTTTCTTGGTGTTTTTTCAATGACATTCCCTTCCTCTGCTGCCAAGAAGAGGCTTTCCTTCCTTGAAGAGCAAGTTTGGAAAGAACCTCCTTCCATTGAGGACTTGCTTACCTCCGCAAACCTTAAAGCAATTGCTTCCAAAGCCGTAGCTGCAGATCTCATAGACCTCTCACTTCCATCTTTCGATAGCTTCCCCATGACAGAGGAAGAAAAACAAAGGGCTGAAGCTTTAAAGAGAAAGGCTGCAGAGAGTGCCCCATTGACTATATTGCGCTCAAATGAACAAGAGAAGGAGATTGATGAAATTCCTCTGCACAAGAAGGCGAGGTTGACTTCTTTTTCAACCACAAAATTTAAGAGTGCTTTCAACCCAAAAAGTAAAGGAAAGAAGGCTGAAGAAACTGATCCTGAAGAGGAGGTCAGAGCTTATGTCCTGGCTGAGGCTGGGGCACCTTGGACTCCTTCTTTCTCGAGGGCTGACAAATTTGTCCTTCATATCAGTGATTCTATGATCTCAGATCCATCTGCGGGACCAATGCTATCAACACCTGCATCACTTCTGGGAGACAAATGCAAGGACGTTACTCTTCGTTTGTGCGCCTATCCAGTGCAAAAGCATACCAGTCCGGCTTCAATCAAGGCTCAGGCCCAAAAACGATGGATCTTGATGCCTTTGATGCAAACATAGAGGTGTCCTTCCCTTATGATGAGGGTCCGAAGGCTCAGGAGGCTGAAATGCTTTTTGCTGAAATGGTGAAGGCTCACACAGAAGATCTTCCAAGCTCATCAACTCCTGCAGCTCCTAGTCCTTCAATCCCTCCAACCTCAAGTCCCACTGTAGTGGTTGCTTTTGATTCTGCTCACTTCGATCTGAAGAGGAAGTAGAATCGTGTAATTTATTTTTATTAACAATATTTTTGGGATAATATAACTTTTTTCAGGCCTTGATGCCTTAATTTTATCTTTGCTGAATATTCATGAATGCTTCCAATCTTGCATATACTTTGCTGACTGGTAATGTTTTAAGAGTTGTACCCTGTCTGAGGGTTCCTCATTTGTTGTAGTCCGAAGCAAAAGTGGATAAGATGTGAAGAAGGAATCCCCTTTGATAGTTTACCTGATATCTGAGGATTACTGTTTCCTCTAGTGATTTAACCGTTAAGGGAACCCTTCTTGCCATGGATTTGTATAAAGTAGATTTGTATATACTCTTTGTTTCTTGTATGTTTTCGATGTGGGACAAATTTATAATGGTACTCACATTATTGGGCCCAACGTGGGGCTTATAAATGTGATATCCACGACGTATTTGTCCTAAACACTTATGGTTCGCAGCGAATAGTTCCTCAATGCTAAGCCTGAGAGGAATTATTCTGTACCGGACTTGTAAGGTCCAAAACACGTTTGTTCCTCGACGTTAAACCTGAGAGGAAAAATGTTCTGAGTCGGACACGGGTCCGAGGTGAAGTGTTCCTCGGCACTTGGCCTTAGAGGAAACTTTGCTGACTTGGACACTTAGGGTCCGGGGCGAAGTGTTCCTCGGCACTGGGCCTTAGAGGAAATTTTGAGGTACTCGGACTCTTGAGGTCTAAAGGCGAATATTTATTCCTTGGTAGCTCTTTGTACCTTAAAGGAATTTTGTGATACCTTCTGATTCTTGAGATCCGAGGTATATATTTGACTAGTATCCTCAGAATTTTGAGGTACTTGGACTCTTGAGGTCTGAAGGCGAATGTTTATTCCTTGGTAGCTCTTTGTACCTTAAAGGAATTTTGTGATACCTTCGGATTCTTGAGATCTGAGGTATATGTTTGACTAGTATCCTCAGACTCCTGAGGTCTGGAGTGTGTGCCTCCTCGGCCTCTATATGTGCCTTGGAGGATTCTTATTGATGCCTTTGAATTCTTAACTTTCAGAATATATGCTGCATTCATACCATCATGATCCGAGGAATTTGAAAACGATAAGCTCAAGAAAGAAGGTCCCTCGATATGTAGGTTTCTGATTGAGCGATTTCATTTGAAGACCTATTTATCAAAGGGCATCTTTCTTGGCAATCGATAATTGTGGGATTGCACTATATATTGAACTCACGTTTTTTATTTGATTTCGATGAGGGATAAAACTTTTAATGGGTTGTACACTATTAGGCCAAGTATGTGGGCTTGTGAATGTGACAACCATAAATAATATTTGCCCCTATTCGGGTTTAGACCTATTGACGTAACTTCAAACTTTTAGCGTCTGAGGTGGTAAGTTCCTTGACCATGAGTCTGAAAGGAATTGTAATGTATCGGACTCTTGAGGTCCGAGGTAGTAAGTTCCTCAGCTATGAGCCTGAGAGGAACTGTAATGTATCGGACTCTCGAAGTCCAAGGTATGTAGTTCCTCGGCTATGAGCCTAAGAGGAATTGTATTGTACCAGACTCTTGAGGTCCGAGGTATGTAGTTCCTCGGCTATGAGCCTAAGAGGAATTGTATTGTACCGGACTCTTGAGGTCCGAGGTATGTAGCTCCTCAACTATGAGCCTAAGAGGAATTGTACTTAGGCCAGATAGTCTGGGCTTAAAAAAGAGAGAATATATTTTCTTTTCTTAATATCTTTTTAGGGCTACTGATATTGCCCCCATTATGAAAGGTATTGCCCCCATGAAGGAAAGAAAAATATGTCTTGTTTGATAGCGGTGATGCAGATAATTTTCATGTAATTATATGCATCGGCACTCTTTGTGCTTTGGAGGAATTTACATGAAAATTTAACCTTCGACGTATTTGAGTTCGAGGTAATTTTCATGTAATTTTATTCATCGGCACTGTTTTGTACCTTAGGGAATTTTTTCATGAGAATTTAACCTTCGACTTATTCGAGGTAATTTTCATGAAATTTTATTCCTCGTTGCAGCTCATTATGCGTTAGAGGAATTTTGAAGTCCTCGAACTCTTGAGGTCCGAAGATGAATTTTATTCCTCTTTGCAGCTCGTTATGCGTTAGAGGAATTTTGAAATCTGCAGACTCTTAAGGTCCAAAGATGAATTTTATTCCTCGGCAGCTCTGTGTGCCTTAGAGTAAGTTTGAAATATGCGGACTCTTAAGGTCCGAAGATGAATTTTATTCCTCGGCAGCTCTGTGTGCCTTAGAGAAAGTTTGAAATATGCGGACTCTTGAGGTCCGAAGATGAATTTTATTTCTCGGCAGCTCATTGTGCCTTAGAGGAAATTTGAAGTCCTCGGACTCTTGAGGTCCGAAGATGAATTTTCTTCCTCGGCACCTCGTTGTGCCTCAGAGGAATTTTGAAATCGG